AAATCCTGTAACTGTAAAGGATTCACTGCTGTGAAAGAGCAATACAGGAATGTCAGTAAAATGAGGGCTGGAACATCTCCACCTAAAAACAGTAACATCCAAATAAAGAAGAAGAAAGAAAAGTTTTAGTTAGGAACCAGTCTGGCTACAGTATGATAGCAGCAGAATTGCATTCCAAAGTTTTCCTTAGTAACTTCCAAGAGTCTCCCACATCAGTGTGGGAGACGACATTTTGCTTGTTCAGGTAAATTGAAATCCCACTGCTCTTTCTGCTTGATGTAGAAAATCTTTTGTACAACAGCTACTACATCGCTGCTCCTTGAGTTCCACTCCTGATATGACCTAAGGGGCTCAAAATGGCATCCATTAGAATAAACAAGATTTTATCAGTAACATGCTGAAGCCTCAGTTGTTTCTCTGGGCTGAATGAGAGCAAATAATCCTTTACAGTGCTCCAAGGAATGCCCTGAGATTTGCTGTTTGCAGTGCTTGGTCTGCAGACATGTTACTAAGAGCTCTGAAGTGAAGCTCAGAACAATGCCTTGTGTTCTGTGTTATACGAATCTGGTTCTTTATTAGGAAGTTTCTTTCTAGCTACTGAAGTATGTTTAGGAATACATCTTGTTCCTATGGAAATCAGTGAGAATTCTGCCCTTGCCTCCAAACAGAGCAGGAACAGACTCCCTGTCTGCAACATCAGACATCCTGGCATAAAGTGAGAAAATTGGGAGGGCCTGCTAAGCTTCATTAGTGTGGGAAGGTCAGCCTACAAATCAAGAGACTCCCACAGGAGAAGCAGGAGGGCTCCAGCACATGCAGAGGGGAGGCCTCTCCCTGCCTTATCCCTAGAGAAAATCCCAAATCCACTCCTTGGCTCCTTCCCCCTGCCAGCCCATCCCGGCAGCTGAAGGTAAAAGGCAGCCATGGCTGAGGTGCTGCTGAATCCAACACTGAGTGATACAGGTATGGGAAGAACTTGAATTTCTAAGAAATTTGAGCTGACATCTCTATTTTATAAGTAGAAAACACACCCAGGTCCAAAAATTCCAAAATGGCTAGGGAGTTTGAGTATGTGAATTTGCATGTGTGTAATCAGGCACCTCAGAGACGGGGGAGAGGCATCCCTCCAAAATGCATTTTTTAAAACACAGATTTATTTGGGTTGTTTCAAACATGGGTCTTAAAAGCCTAAGTAGTTTTGAAATTATTATACATGGTTCATTAAAAATATGGCGAGTAAGTGAAAGGCCAGAAAGGAGCATTTTTACATCTTCACGTTTAATAAGTTTCACTTTTTAAAATAATAAAATGACAGACACAGGAGAGTTTTACATTACCACTGGTATGTAAAAATATAGTTTTTGTTTTATCTTAAGTTTGGCCATTAAATTCTGATGAAAAGCAGAAGTAAGTCTACCATATATAAGAGATATAATTTTAAAAGTCAGTTTTTCATCTGCAAACCTTTCATACAAAACAATCATACCTCAATCTAAAAGATTGGTTTATCAGAAAGATTATTAGGATGATTTTGAAATGAAGACCAAACTACAAACCCTGTAGCTAAATCAAGTACATCACCATTTGAGGTATAAACCCTTTATACTAGCTTATGAAGAACATAACTGAGCTCCCAACTGGAATAACAGAAACATCTCTCATACCTTCCTAACACCATTACTCACTCCTTTCAAATGAGGTTGTGCATTTTATAAGCTCAGAAAGTATACCTGGAAACTCACCTGCTCAACCCTCTCCTAAAAATATAGAAAAAAAATTAAAAATTTCACTTTGGATATTTAGTGCTGGTCTCTGCCCTTCATGAGCCCCTTGCTGCCAGTATGCCTATTTTAAATTAATAATGGACTTATTTTTCCATCCAGAAAACCAGTACATTCAACCTGACAGCAAAGAGGAAAAGCAGTGATGAGCCATTCTTTATTTTCAAGTCCTTGGAGTATATACCCTGTGAACTTTTTCTCTGAAATCTGTTTCCCTAAAATATATTCAGCAAGATGAATGTTAAGGAACTAGCACTGGAAGCAATTCCTCCATCTTCACACTGATCTCCAACAATCTCACTGGTGTACAGATGCCAGTGACCTAGGACTGAGATGGGAAAAATCTTGGCTCCCCTTTGTTATTGTGCTGCCCTAACATTTTGCCGCTTCTCCAGAGATCTTTCTAGGCACAATATAGGCACACAGCAAAACTCCACATTCCAAATAAGCAACACTGGATGATGATTAATGGGGATAGGAAAAAGTTAAAATAGTGGGATAAAATGACTTGTCCAGAGTAGATCATTTACAGAGAAAGGAACTCAACCACCTTCTCTAAATACCAGTCCAGTATCATTCATCCCAGGTGTGGGACTTCCAACACCAGAGAAACAAAGAATATTAAGTCTATTTCCACATGACAGCAAAGTTTGAGCAACAGGCTGGTCGAGCAATTTGAGGTATCTTGAATATGAACACCATTAGAAGCACTATTGTTTATAAAACCAGCATACATTATATCCAAGTTTCTTTGGTATAATGTTGAGTAAAACACAGAGCAAACCAATATTATTATTATCCATATTTATAGACTTAGCCTTCATGTCTGTGTACTTTTTTCCCCACTCCCTCAAACAAAACCCCTTTACCAGTGACAGCTTTAGATACTCAGATATCTTCTCACAAACTAAAGTGATTATTGTTCTGAAGATATCTATAAAAGTAATAAAGGCTTGTTACAGATTATCTTTCTTGCTACCAGTCTTAAAAAATAAAGCTAAGATTTTTTTTTTACCCCCTCATGGTACCTAGGGTCTGAAAATTAACTGGAATATCTGTTGCTCTTACTACCACCAATAATAAAAGACTGAGCTTTACAGAGGATGCACAGCACAGAGTAAAACCTGTATCACTTTCTCTCTACTTGTATTGACTGTATAGCACTAAGTAGTAAAAATGTAGTTATTCAGCAAGGAAATTTAGGTCAATGACATCCAAAGGAGACAAGACAAAAACTAAGATTTCTGTTCTTTTTTTTCTATTAATGGGATTGTCATAAAATTATTTCACTGGTAACTAGGGGCTGGTGATGGTCCTCAAATCACAAGAAATATTTTCAGACAGGTATCTCACTACTGAGTTGCTAAAAAACAGAATACAAAATTCAAGGTCACAAGTCATAGGGGTATTTCATAAAAATACCTTTAGGGTATTTTCGCAAAAGCCTGAAGTGTGATTTGCCTACTCCAATGCATTTGGAATGAGGCAGATGTTTTAGTACTTTGCTGGAATGAGCTGAGGATAGACTCCTCATAACATGAGACACTTATAACAGTTTATTCACTCAGAAGGAGTGTTTCAAGAAAGAATGTATGCTTCATATAGAAGTTCCCCCACTATTGTAACTTCCTACTCCTGTAATCTGAAACAGTCACAACTGAACGTCTCTCAGGCAGTATTTCAGAACTGAATATTCCAAAAGATTCCGTACACACTCCCAATGCTCTTCAACATAACACTACATATTAAACTGTATCTTGCAAAACCATGAAAATTTGCAGGGGAGTTTCAGATGTTTAACCTAACATATAGTTAAGTTAAAAGTGTATGTTTGATCATTCTCTCTAAAAACAGCTTTTAAGTCCCTCTTAGGTTGCAATGCTAAGGCAAGTGATCAAGACTGTCATTCAGTTTCACAGCATTTTCTTCCCTTACTCTTGCATCTTCTCACTGGAGGTGTACTCTTTATAACAGTGGATATTCCTACAAATTTCAGAATGCTAAAGACTCTCATTTTTACCTGGTTCTGATGAAGTTAACCCAGGAAAGTTAACCAGGAAAAAATGACATTGGAAACACTCTTTACAGCTGGATGCTAACAGTTCACCCTTTTGAAGGCCAGCAAGACTGTGCTATGTTAAATAAAGACTGGAGTTTAAAAGGAGGATTTTTATCTCTACCATTAAGGAAAAGGAACTTATCATATATGTTCTCTCCTCATAACAGAGGGCAACACACTCGTATACTCGATTTTAACAGTACTCCATCTTAGATAAAGAGCTGTGCTGGATTAACTCTGAGCACAGGTGCAAGTAAGCGATATTTCCTTCTGTTGAGAGCAGTGGGGTAGGAAGAAGTTAAAGAGACCTGTCAAGGTCACACTACAACGCGATGACAAACTTAGAGGGGAAGTCACCACTAATTCCCAGCTCAACTGTATCAGAGACTGCAAAACCAGTCTCCTCAAAGGGCTCTGTGCTGCCAAATGGCATACAAGCAAGATCAGAATCAGTTTTTAGCACTAACACCTCTCAGGACTACTCTGAACACGAGACAAGTCAGAACACGTCTTAGTTTGAGCTTTATAGCTAAACGAGGTAATGCAGCAGAACAAGTACTCAGAAACCTTGTGTAACTCTCACACTTGCTTAATTACATCCACGTTTCGTCAATTAAGTCTGGGGAAATCGTTGAGCTTTGGAGGAAAAGCGGAAGAGGGGCTACAGGATCACTCACTCAAGGTTTATTTGCTTGTTTTTGTCCCCGGTGACAAAACACGGTGCTAGTACAAATATGAAAAAAGAGAGAAAATCAGGCAAATAGATAACTCCGAAGGCTCCGAGGGGTCCTGTCGTCATGGAAACAAGTCACCGCTAATGAGCTTTCCACGGCATGAGTGATTAATGCCCAAGCCCTGTAAATAAACATTGATTCCGAGCCCAAACAGACACAGGCAGCCGTTGGGTTGGGGCGATCAGCAGCGCAGCGCGCACTCGCCGCGGCTCCCTGCGCACGAAGGGGACCGCACAAAGTTTCCCGAGCGCTGCTGCCACCGCGCTGCGCGGGGGAGCGACGGCGGCCACCGCACAGCACAGCCCGGGCCGGGCCGGGCGCTCTGCCCCGCTCCTGGAGCCGGGCACAGTGCCCGCAGATGTCCAGCAGCGCACGGAGCAGCGCAGCCCGCGACCCGCACAGGCACACAGACACACCAGCCCTCACCTTGCGCTAAGTCGCTGCCCGCACACAGCCACCTTTCCCGACAGTCCACGGAGAGCGCGACTCCAGCTTGTGCCCGGGGACGGCAGCGGCGGCACCTCCGACCTCGGAGAGCAGAGCACGGTGCTTCAGCCAGCGAGCGGGGGGAGGAAGCACCGATGCACAGGAACAACAACAGCTGCTACTGCTGCTACTGCAACCTCCTTCCTCAACTCCCCCATCCCCTCCTGTCCCCGCCCGCTTCTCCACCTTCGCTCTTCCTGCCCCCGCCCCCGCTCAACCAGCTGTTTTCGCTCCACCTGGGCCGGCTTTCCAGGTGCCTCCCTGCTTCCACACGCTTCCCCTACAGCAGCTGCAGCTCCGGGGTGGCGGCTCCGCCTCTTGCCGCGCTGGCTCCGCTGTCCCGCACGGAAACTTCCCCGCTGCCGGCGCTCCTGTTCTGTTCGGCCGGGGACATCGCAGCGCGGAGCCCTGTCCCGGCACGGGGACAGGCAGAGCCGCCCGGAGGTGGCCACTCACCTCAGGAAAGCCCGCCGGTGCCCTCCGGGGATGGGGGTGGACACGGCGCTGGCGGCGTCACCGATGGAGGTGAAACCTGGCGGAGGAGCGGGGTGCTCCCCCTGCCCTCTTCCTGCCCTCTCCCTGTCCTACTCCTCCTGCAGGGCTCCCCGGGGAGGGACGCGCTGCCTGCACTGCCGGGCCGCCTCTGCGGTGGCCGCCGCCCGCCCTCCGGAGCCGGGGGGGGGGAGGATGGATGAGGAAGGGGGCGCTGGCAGGGCGGGTGCGGCCGGAGCTGAGCCGTGCGGTGCCGCTCTGAGGGGCACAAGGATCGGCTTCTCTTGGGCAGACTGGGCTCTGTCACCAGCGAGCGGGCGGCCGGACCAGGACGCGACAGTGCTGCGGCTTCCCCAGGGCTCCCAGCCAGGCGCTGGTTCCCTGCCCGGCTACGACCCGGACCTGCTCCCCTCCTCTTCTTCCCCCCCTCTTCCCGCACGCCGCCCTCCCTCCCAGGCGCTACGAGGGCACCGGGGATTAAGTGTACATTCAATTTTAAGAACATTATATTAATAAACAGCGATTCGGTGGTTTTAAATTACTCTGCGAGCATCCATCCGGCAGCCTGTTAAGAAGGAATCCTCTCCAAGCATCGGAAGGATCAGAGCGCGGGCGCCGCGTCCTCCGGTGCCTCCGGCGGGGCTTGCCCGGGGAGCCGCGGCCGAACGCCCGCCTGCTGTGGGGTTCCTTAGGAAAATTCCTTACGGAAGAGCCCTGCCCGGTTCGGGAAGGAGGTGCGCGCACAGCTGCCGGCGGGAGGGACGGAGGGAGCACCGGGAGAACCCCGGCCTCCGCCTGGGAACAGCCCCAGAGTTTGTCCCACGTCTCACTGGAGACTAAACCAGCCCGGGCTAGGCAGGGGCTGGCCGTGCAGCCGGAGTTTAGACGCTGGAGGAAGTGCACGCCTTTAGAGCAGTGGAAATGTGGCTTTTATACGGCGTGACGCCAGCGGACACACGGACAGCAGCGCGATGTGAACCCTCCTGGCTCCCAGAGAGAGCCTCGAGCTCACCTGCGCACCCGGCGGCCCCTCGCTGCTGCAGCACCCGCGGCTCCACGACAAAGACTGAAGCAACCCCGAGATGGGAAGAGGAGGATAGGCACTGATTTGAGGGCTCAGCCTTCAAAAAATGGCTAAAGCTTTCCCTTCTCCCCCTCCTTCCTTCTGCATCACACCTCCAGAGCCCAACAGGTGGTTGGCATCTCAGAGCCTCAGAGAAGATCTAAGCTAATCTAAGTAGTGTCTAAAAATGACCTCTCTCATGAATTCACATTATAAGAAAAAAAAGATTTTTCATTTACATTTTAATGTAATGCAAAGTAGGGAGCTCCAGACACTGTTGCAAAGAATGATGACTCATGCCCACCACATGTACATTGTTTATTGTCCAAAGATGGGACCGTGTTTAAATTAGGCTGATGGATAACCTAATCCGAATGTTCTCAACTGCTTCCCTATAATTATGTTCTGGAGAAAGTAAAGCATCATTTCTTAACCCTAGTCTCTCTCCCTGACACATTTCAATTTAATCTTGTGTGGAACTACATGTTTTGAATTTCCTAGCAGGTGGAGTGTTCTTTCTGCACAGGCACTGCACGTGGAAAGGAATGATCACAGATGTACTTCTCATATCAGGCAGGAATGTAAACCATGGCTTTCTGCACATTAGCAGATAAAAGCTGTGAGTTCAACAATTTCAAACAGAAATTAATACCCTGTCAGCTTGTGCTAGTCTCTCAATGGGTTGTCTCATTGCACAGCTTTGTTAAACTAGGCTTCACCATCCTACTGGGACTAATTCTATTCCAGACACCAAAAAAACCCCCTCCTTATGGCTAGGTGGGCTGCTCTTATTTTTTTCATAAAATAATTACAGAGCAAAGAAATGGTGAACCATCAGTTCATCTGTCTGTTTCCTTCTTGCAGTTCCATACTATTGCCAATTCCTGCATTTCACTAAATCTCCAGAGTACCAGGGCAATAAGCTGTTCTGTTCCCTGTTCTTCATTTGTTTTTTCTTTTCAAGCGGATGGTATTAAGGAAGCTCTTCCCACACATACACAAAGATTCAAGTCCATTCCTATAAGGAACTCAGGCTTCAGCTACTCCTTTTGTTCTGTGCTTCTCTTTCTGTGAGACTGACACACTCTCACCCTCACCCATATAATTGTTGTGACCAAAGGAGAACCTATGGCCAGTCTCCTCTAAATATGACACAAACAACTCTGTGGTACTCATGCCTATTTTGTGAGGAGCAGACATTTTTCAGTGGATAAATGTGTGAGGGGAAAGATCAGGATGAAGAGTGTTTATTTTTGCTCAATATTTTGGAGGAAAGAGAGAAACGCTGGGCTTTTAATGGTTTGAGCTTTCAATTGGCTTTTGGTCAGATCCCAAACCCACAGGGTTGAAACACAGCAAACAGTAATAGGGAAATGCAAATTAAGACAAGAAATTAAAATTTAATCCCGATCAATGATTCTGTCATCCCATGCTTGTACCAGATGCAGCAACCAAATGCTTGTGTCCCAGCAGCCTCATCATCTGCTTGATGTTGTGTGGCTCTTTCTGCAGTAAATATAAAATAAAACAAGTATTATATTTTAGCGAGTTGGTAGACACTTTCTATTTTCTAAAATATCTACAAGTCTTCCCACTCTAGCACTCCTGTTTCATAAATAAAGCTGTTCAAAATCATGACTTCTGCCCCAATGTAAACTTCAAATACCTGCCTTGGTGTGGAAGGTGACACCAATCAAAAGACGGTGATTTAACTATCACTCTTGCCAAAACCAGTGCTGGAATTGGTGTTAGGATTCAATACCACTGAGTGTGGCAGTGTTCCCAATCCAGCCTATACTGCTTCAAGGTTTTGATGTTAAAGCTCTATATAAAAATACAGAAAATGGTTAGAATCCAAGAAGTGATCATTTGCTTAATGTGGTATAAAGAAACCTTAAATAGGAACCTCATTTGGGCCTTGAGACAATACCACAGTAAATAGTAAAATAATGAAAAATAGCATAAAGCTGCTATTCAAAGAGCCTTTTTTCTCTCTCATCTGGAGTTAGAGAAAGGCAGTATTTTCAAGTTCACAATATCTGAGCAGCTAATTTGCTATTTTAGCCCTTACAGGCCAGCTCTACTGGCTCACATAAACTAACTTTGCTCCCAGGGAACGTCCCACTGACTACAGCAAGGACAAGTTCACACCCCAGGCTTTACACTGCAGATTCTGTACTGGAACAACTGTTTCAGGGGCCAAATGCTGCAATGATCTGCAGACATGAGTTATACATGAAGATAAGCAGGTGTCTAAGCCTCTGTGGGTCTGACCCCAAATTTCTCAGGTATTCTACACTAAAGATGGAAGGCCAAAAGCTTAATTGTTCCATCCTGGGAATCCCATTCACTTTCATCCTCTGTATGAGGATGAAAAACTTCATGTTTAACATAAAGTTTTTCCTTGGTAACATCAGGAAATCTTGCTAAGGTATTATATGCACAGAAGTACAGTATGTCAGTATCAGATTCATTTCTGAAAAGGCTAATTTACCTTCTAGCATTCCTAGTATAATGACTATAATGACATGAAATGCTCTGTTTCCACACAGTGTTTGGAAAATACTGTAAGATAGTGTTTCCAATATTGTTTCACTCATCTTTCATAACTCATCGTAAAAGATTACCTAGGGGGAAACCTGCATGGGTTTTCTTTTGTGAGGGACTTACATGCTGACAAGGTGCATTAGATCATTCCAGATGAAAACTGCTGGCATCTGCAGTGAATTAACAGTCAGAGTGCTGACTGCAAAAAGGGCAGTCCAAACTCAGGTGGTTTGGACATGGCCTTGGCTATCACATGGTCATTGAAGATTGCCAAAGATGGTTTTTCAAAGCTAAATGTCAAAGAAATTACTTGGGGATGGCCCTTACTGTTGCTGTCCAGGCTGTACATGTGTATATAAATGTATGTATGTTTCATTTTCAGGAAAAAAATTATATTTAAAATGTAGATCAGAGCCAAGAACCCTGGCATATACTTCTAAAAACATTCTTGAAGCTGTGAGTTTGGAAAGGACTACCTCTAACATAAATACTTGGGTATCATTTAAATTATCTGGGGTTTCCAAAACAAAAACAAAAAAAAAAAAAAAAAGAAAAGGAAAATAACAGAGGCAAAACAATAGTTAATTATAAGAGTGTAAGGACATTTATCTGTGTGATTTGTGCACACATAATAGGCACATATACATAAATACACATTTTTCAAGCCCACATCCAGGGAAGTAGAGTGGGTTGCAATATTACACAGTGCAGATGCCACTCCATGCTAGCTGGTGGTAAGGGCTTGTATTGGTAGATCCATCCCAGAACACACATAAATGTGTGGGATTGGCATTAATCCTGTTATCCCAGAGGGAAGGACATTCATTCCTCCTCCCACAGAGCAGCCTACCAAGAATTCACAATGCTCTCTCCTCCCCTTGATTCCTAAGCCAGCCAGACTGCAGCACCTCT